CCCCACCCCCGGCAAGGCTGGACCCTGGCAGTCGTACAGAAAATGCTCAATCACTGGGCTGTCGGAAAAGTCAGGCCACATTTTTATATAGAAAAGCAGGAAAAACACGTCATCACTTTTCCAACGACCTAACACTTGTTAGATGAGTAAGGAAATGGGTAACCATATTATATGACTTATATCCTTCTGGTCTCCGCCAGCTCCCCGTGGATTTTTCTTTTAGAGTTATTTATTTTTAAATTCTGTTTATTGTTATTATTGTTTAATTTGACCGGAGACAGAGAAGAGGTGAAAGTGAGAAAGCAAGTTGCTAGGTCCAGGACTCAAACCACCATTGGCCATGTGAGAGTTCAGTGCCTTAACCACCCGCCACCTGCCAGCCCCCGAAGGATGTTTCTTTAATTCAAGGTCACAGTCTGTGTACTTAGGTACCCTAGTTTTCTCACGTCCCACTGTGTCAACCACTTGGCCGAGGTGTCAGGACTTTCTGGTGTTCCCTGACTGCTCTTCCCATGGGGGGCTCGGCTCTCTATCAGATGCAGGTAAGCAGGTTGTCCCACTGCCTGCGGATCCCTGGCTCTCCACTCACCTGACACAAGCCGTGCAGCGCCTGCCACCTGCCAGGTATTCTGTGTGTGGGACATACCACGAGGAGGCGGCCCGACCACTCCTTTTCTAGCTGGCTGAGACAGTGTAGACAGGGTTCCCAGCACAAAGGAGAGGGGGGCATCAATGGCCCTTTCACAGTGAGGAGAATGGGCAAAGAAACAAGATGAAGTCTCATACGTGTCCCATGGGCAGGAGTTTGGCAGGGAAAGGAAGCCGAGTTAGCAGCAAGAACCACTAAGGACCAGAGCCAGGTACTAGAACGTACACAGAACAAGAGCCAACGCCTTAAGTCTCTCGCTTTTAACTCTGTGAGGACTAGCGGTGTAAATGATCTAGGTCAGAATTTTTTGATACTTGAGTTTACCTCTTTGAGGCTAGCAGTAGTGTAAGGGTAAGGTGCTGGACTCCCTAATGGCCGACTACACTTTGAGTCCCAGACCTGGTGGCTTGAAAGTCATGCTGGGTGTGTGGCCCCAAAATCCCAGGAAAAGGATGGAGGGGAAGGAACTGCAGCATGGCCATCCCCTCAGGGGGTGAATTCTCAGTTTCCCCCTCTCTCTCCAGCAAGCGCACATGCCCTGTGGCAAAAACCTTAAAAAAAAGTGTGCCTCCTTAAGCTCCAAACAACCATTTGGAATGACTCAAAGAATTTGGAATGACTGAAATTTAAAA